CAGTGTAAACCACGCGATCGCTGAAAGACTCCATTTCTAATTTTTATTATAAAGTTTTAATGAATTAAGAATCTAACCATTCAAATGAAGAAGTATTAGCAAACACTTTGACCTTTGGTCAATCCGAATCATAAGATAAGCAGGAATTTTAAGGAAAAATATAGTTTGAATTGAACATTTTAGATAATACACTATTTAAAGTCATAGAAAGGAAAAGGTTTGATGAAAAAGATTTTTATGATTCAAAAGAAGCCGAAACCAATTATTACGTCATAGTAATACGTTTGCCCATCATTATAAGAGTATCTATCAAAGATATCGGTAAAGCAGGGCCTACTTTGCCTTAAAAGTCATACTTACTGATTAGATCATCGCTTTGATTTACAAAGTGCATTCTTTCTAAACCTCACTTCGACCGCTCGAGTCCTGACAGAAGGGCTGGTAAGAGTTTGGAGCGAAGTCTGAACTGCATTTTAACCTCATGGAACTTCAATACTAGAAAAGATAACTCTTTATATTAGTGTGGTTATAATCACTATCATGTTTTTCCCATTCACGCAAAAAGCTTGCCTATTGACGGCAATGAAACCCCTGATTGCCGTGACCAATTAACTAAAAACCTAAATTTCTCACTCTAAATTATTGTGGTGTAGGTAATCTCTTCTTAAGCAGTATCCAGTAATCTCCACACTCCATACGTACAAGGAACCCACCACTGTAACATCCTTTCAACATAAACGAAATTTTAAGCACCTACCTCATCATCCATTAATTATGACAAAAGGAACATTCAATAAAACAAATTTTTTGGCATTATTAAATATATTCCGCTTTTGCTATACGACTTTTGAATACTGTGGTGACCTAGTGAAGTATAAACTCAAACCTGTCGCTATGCACAGAGACTCAAGCAGATTTATTTTTTGTTGTCAAGCTAACATGGCTTGCATGGGGTGGCCCGGGTGAATTATTCCAGCGAACAACCCATGAGAATAATAATCAAACTTTTATGTGAATTTAAGAATAAGTCAGAGGACCTGAGGCTGAGCTCCACATGAATGTTTAATAAATATTGATAGCCATATCGTTCGTTTATAAGTATATTTGTAAATCTGTCAGTGGATAATCTATATATGAAGAGTATTCATCCTATTTCGTTTAAGGTGATAAGGAGACTGATAGTTGAATTTCCCACAATGATAAGAGTAGACATGACGTTTCAATTGAATTTCGCAAAGCCTTTCCTAATAGGTATTCTGACCCAGAGTAAAGTACAGTTTCGACATCACATAGGTCTTATCAACACACCCAGCTGGACTCCAACCATTGCAGTGCGGCGTATAATCTCGACAAGTTGACTGTCATGGCTCAGGTTCAGCTTGGATAAAGCCTAGGCGGGGTCGAAACTGCAGTCCATACTGTATGATAGTACCTTCTGAGAAAGCAAGACATGTGAATTTCAATGGATACGTAAGGTCTACTCATATCGTTGTGATAAACTTCAACAATCAGTCCCGTTATTACCCTAAACGTTATCGTGTGAGTACACTTCATACATAAATTGATAACTATACCCTTCACGTAGTCCAGCAAAGGATAAAAGTATTGAGTAGTTGGGAAATTGGCAAATTGTTCATAGAATCATTATGATGACGAGGCATTATTAATTATATCACGTACAAAAGACCTCTGAACTTCAAACATGAAAGCTATCTCTTCAACATAATAATATTTTCCTCTGTTAACATTGTATAAATTAACTTGTGCAAGAGCTGTCCAGGCATGTTTAGGCCAATCACACAGCTTGATTTAGGGATATTCGGGCCTAGCTTACACCATTTGTCCGAGTCTTGAATGTCCCAGCTGGGCTGTTCAGGTAATGGTACGGCTGGTGCGATCTCCTGATCAGAGAGCCAGACAACCTGGATAGGAAAAACGGGCGAAAAGTAGAGATAAGTGAGGTCGTAATGGAAGGCGGAGCAGCGACCATGCGGTCGGCTCTCAATGGGAAGCTGATCGGTTGGACGAAGGTAGGTCAGTCGCAACGTGTGCCCGCCCGACAGAATGGTCTGTTGGGCCAGCTTATCGAATGGAAATGCGACGCCACGACTGTCGAATAGACTCCAGGCAAAGGAGACCTCTTCTGGTAGAAGAACCCGATTGGTTAGAGTATCTGTAGGTAGGGTAAGAAAAGTAAGGCACGTTATAAGAGGCTTACTTACCCATAAAATTGCTGAGGTAAGAACATCCTAAATTAGTAAAATATGTGTGTATGAATTAGTTAGGAACCCTTGGACGATATACTAAGATTAGTAGCAGACACGAAAACATCTTTCCAATCTGAATTTTAACCAAGCCGAATGCCAATAAAACTTCTGAAGACAAAGGGTGTTTCAATGATCCCAGGAAATATCATTGTTGGGATGACATATTATGACCTCTATGTAAGACTAAACAACCAAAGTGGACTCCATTATCACACACTTTCAGTAGAATAAAAGCATATTAGAAAAAGTTAGATATACTAGCAGTTTTAAGTCTACTTTAGGCTGTGCTACAAGCCCTCATGAGGCAGCTTTGAGTCCGGCCGTTGTGGCTAGTCCTTAGATCAAATCATGATGTACAGAAAGGTCGATATAAAACGCATATAATGGTGTCGTAATAAATAAAAATTTACCGACAGCTTCACAGCGTAGCTCCACCTGGTCGCCTGGTCTGGCCACCAGCGACCCGTTGGCATGTAATCCAATGACACGAACATTGATCTTTTTGCCTTGTTCTAAAAGTGAAGGATCATAAGCATCTGGATTAGATAAAAGAACATTGGCAAAGGCTACAGTGATATAAATATATCGCCAAAAAGATTAAAATTATATTATTTTTTTAATAGGTAAAGATGGCTGCTGTTAAGGGCTTTATGTACACTCTAATACACTCTATTTTCATAGTCCTGTGAATTGCGAAAAACAATAATCGTTTGCAAAGCGCTAATAAAATTAACACTTTATTTTTTATCTAAGCATTATTGCGTTGGCAATAAATGAAACATCGACACTCTTAATTCGAATATACTGAATGAACAAATTAAATTTTAGACTGCGACACCAAGTAGTGATGATTTCTTCAGCTTAAACTATATCGTGCAAGAGGATGTCTATAAAGTACTGATCCAGAATATAGACTAAATAGTGATCAGCTGTTTACTCCATCTGCCTTTGTAGCCAAAATATCATAGTAAGTTGGTTTCCCTCTTCAAGCAATGTTATCCGCCATGAAGCACTTAAATCACAACATCCCGGAGAATTCACTTATTTGACACTTCTACAGACATCTCAGGATTACGTCCTTGTGAAGGCAGGGGATGCTATGAAGACGTTGGCGTAAACAATGAAGCATATTCTGGAAGTAGTCTCCCTTATTTTGCCTGAAAATATAATCCAATGTACATTCGATATCTCACCTCAGTAAATGTCGAATGAAGATGGAAGTTAGTTGTGACATGACTTTAAGTTCAAAGCAAACGCTGATTGAAGGGAATTCGTGAAATAATTTCACCGAAAACCGAAGGAGGATTGCTGCGAATCGTGCGAAGCAGGCATCTGCTCACCGTCCTGCTATGTAGATGAACATGTATTAAGC